GATGTGAATGGTCATTTAGTTAAAATAAATGATGAGCATAGTCATCCTTCAGAAAAAGAAACTATTGAAGTTCGTGAATTTCGTGAGAAAGTTAAACAACGAGCAGTAAATGAAACAACACGTATGTTAGTATTAACGTACGCAATAAAACATCCTTCTATTAAGTCAGAATTCTAAAATACTCTTTTCGATCATTTTCCACAACAATATATTTTTTTCGATATTTTTCCCTTTCGACATTTTTCCCCATCGATTTTCGACGTTTTTCCTTTCGACATTTTTCCTTTCGACCTTTGGACGGCCAACCTGAGAAACCATCACAGACTGTTACCGAGAATTCAGAAACCACCACAGACCGTTACAGAGAATTCAGAAATCATCACACACCGTTATAGAGACTTCATGGACCATCACAGACCGTTACAGAGAAATTAATTAATTATTAATTAATTAACCAATGAACTGATTAATTAATTTCTCTGTAACGGTCTGTGGGGGCGGCCGGGGGTGGGCCCAAATTTCTACCCTATATACTTCAGCACTCCTTTCAGATCGTGTTTCACAAAATCAGAAGTTTTGAACAAAGTGTCTTCGAGATATGAATCTCTCAAAATATAAACGATTTTCTATAGAAGCTGTATGCTTGAGACATCTATATTTCGAAGAGAGTTTTTCCAAAACTTCTGATTTTTTCCCTATAAGCTAGTCTCCTTGAGGCCTTCATGCATACAAAGTTTCAGGTTCAAATTCGAGAATACGATATTGCTGAGAAAGCCGGTCCTGTAAAGAAAATTCACTGAAAAATTGAATATCTCCCTCTAGATAAGCCAATAGCAGCTAATATTTTAACCTTGTTAGTTTGGCTATGAGCGCTTTCATTTGATCCGAAAATATCCCGTTTTTCTCACGGACAGTACAAGGATCTCCATTGTAAGCGGTGTAATTGCAGTTGAAGGCCACTGTATTGATTCCGGATGTGGGTGTGTGGGTGTCAGGATTCCTTCAAAGTATCATGTTACTCCCATCCCCATCCACACTCACATGGGTAAGAGATGATAGTATAGTAATAGCAGTTATAATTGCGGGAGGTTTGTCCCTTTTCGTCGCCACTCTTCCAGACATCCGGTCAAATAACCGGATGTTCGAAATCGGATATAAAAATAAAATCGATTTTCCGGATGTTCGGAATGAAAGTCGTCCAGATGTTCGGAATGAAAAAATGACCGATGTTCGGAAGGAAAAAAATACAGAATGTTGAAAATGAATTTTGGTGTATGGTTGTCAACATAGAAAACAATTTATTCATATAGTATATTTTAAGTCGTTGAGTGTAGCAGCCTCTTCTTGTACATTCAGTTAGGGTTTTTAAAAATAGTGTAGTTCAATCGTGAGCGATAGGCCTTACAGATAGATAGTGGGATTGAGTAGTAAAACTATTAACTTCTCCGTTTTATAGAGGCTAGGTGCTGGTAACAAAAAATTTACTAGTAATTCTCATAAATGTTCAGCCAGCAGTTTATCAAGTGAACAAAAAGTAGACGAAATAGACGATGCCAATATTAAACAAATTCCAAAAAAGAAAAAACCACAAGACATGCTGCAAAAAAACATTAGACATAAAATGTTTTTTTCTTACAAAAGTTATTTATTCTCTCACTTGTATAAACTTTTGTTGTCTTATGCTTTTTTTGTGAAAGACTATACTAGGAAATAAAAGAAAATAAACTACGTTATTAAAAAAAAAAATTCTCTTCCGAATATCCGGGGTATTTTCGTTCCGAATATCGGTCATTTTTTGTTCCGAACATCTGACAGTTTATGTTCAGAGCATCCTGTATTTTCCGTTCCGAACATCTAGACGACTTTCATTCCGAACATCCGGTATTTTCCATTCCGACCTTCCAGCCTTTTCATTCCGAACATCGGACATTTTCAAAGAAACTGAAGTTCGGAACGGACTTCTACGACCGATGTCCGTAAAAAAGAGGGGATGAAAATGGATTACCCCATTGCGGAATTGGGCGGAATTTTCAACATTGCGGAATAGGATGAATGCTCTAATTTATATATTTTCGAAGAAAATGGTTAGCGTAAGTTTAAAAGTGATATTTATGCGCCTCCAATCCCTTCTACAAACATTAGCAAGCACGCAAAAACTAAATAAGACAGCTTTTTTTCTACAGATCGATTGTCTTGCAACATATATCACATTTTACGTATTGTGCATTAGTAGAATTATTCGAAAAGTCACATGTGAACTCTATATTTTAGCTCTAAGGGGCTACACTAGCATGTTATTTTTGATAGTACCGATTCGTAAACTCTCAATGTGGGAAAAGTTATTCAGTACATCGCCATTTCAACTGGTAGAATTCAAATGAGAATGGTAAGCACTATTAAAAATACTGATATTGATGTTTTTATACTCGAGAATAATATTACATGCCGTAAATACAATTACAGTCATAATAATAAGTTTTGTTGATAGTGGTTTTTCCGCTTGAGAATACAGGCATCCAAGAAATAAAACCGATATTGCACCGATCGAAGCTTTAAGATCAAGCGTAAATTGAACGAATATTTGACTGAGAACTATGATAAAAAATTTATTGGCATTATTCGCAACCATCATAGACGTTGCAGATATAAGTTTGTTAAGTGCGAATGCAGATACACTCAACGAAAATCCAAGTATGCCGGAAAGCAAAATTATACTAATATTTTTCATATGCAGTATATGTCTAAGATCAGATTTTAACAGCAGTGTTGTTAGCTCTCCCATGATACAGGCACAAATTAGAAGTATAGGTAAAGAAATAAAATTATTATAATAAGACATACCGATGGATCCAATATTTTCGAAAACAGGCAAATGAATAATCTTTTTCATATATATTTGGTATGCACTCGTGCCTATAATATTCACAGACAACCATGTGTAACCTGGCATATTGAACGTCAAGTCATGTTTCGAGTATAATATTGCACCTAATAGCATACCGATCAATGTAAGGGTTGAAAAGCCGTCAATCTGGTTATTTAGGAAGACATACTCCAGAAGAGCAACAGATAAAGTTGTGAAGTTCCTCATCACAATAAAAGTCGGTACACTTACATACATCAATGCAAATAGACTTGAAGTGAGCATCATCACAAATAATAAAACTAATGGCATCCACAACTTTACAATGTTGACATTTAATTCTGGCAAAGACTCAAATGTATGTCGAAAACCTTGCGAAAAAGATACCAACAAAATAACGGCAATACCATTTTGTAATACTAAAAGCACATTAACATATGGGAATACCACAACTATAAGTTTGTTCACTAATGTTAACAACGTTCCTGATACACAATACAAGATCAATGACGCTATTGTTTTAGAACTATTCATAAACTTGGTATGACAGCAGATGGCGTCTTGGATACTCATGATGAGCGAAAATATGAAAACAATATGCTGACTCTGCTTGCTTTATCGTTCCTTTCCGTAATAATAAGGCAATTTTCTTGAAAATAGACACTAAAATAAGGCAATAAAAACAAATTAATGAAACGCTATAATTACAAATAAAGTGTTACTCGAAGCTGTTATAAGTTTCATATAAGGAAAATATCAGACCAGAGCTGAACAAGTCAGGTGTTTTTCAAGTCATGCCTAACTTGATTTTCTCTAGTAATAAAAGTCTAGAGTATAGGATTATCACCTTTTGCCTCGTATCGAGTGGTGACTCAGGTTCTATTTTTAATTTGAGGACTCGTGAGACTTCATTTGATGTTCCTCATAAACAAGTTTTGTTATCTATCGTATGTAATAGAAAAATTGGGATGACGAAGTATTCAAAATATATAATCGGGAACTCTGAAACTTCTAGAAACGGATATTTAATAGGCAGCAGATTGTGGAGGATATCAATTTTCAACTAGGGGTGATATTTTAACACTTGAGAGTGTGGGTGTCAATTTATAACCGCTTTGCACTCACGTATACGCCCACCCCTTCTTTGTCCTTGTAGAATAACGAATTTTTTCAAGGCTTGATGAGTGCATGGTCACCTGCTGGTGTTCTTAACAGCTTCTTTGATAATTTCAATGCTAACAAGGATGACAGTATGCTAAGTTAAAGTCAGTTCTGAGAAGCACCTCCGTAGACGTAGCAAATAGTGCTGTTGTTAGATAACGCAGTACATGGTCACCCCACCGATATTTGAAAATTCCGTAAGTGGCGTCAATAGCATCAGTCCAGTGACGAATATGAGGTTTTCGGAAAAATTCAATTTTTATCACATCGAAGTTAGTATTATATAAACGTATATGGTTCTCAATATCAAAAGCGCGTACTAGCCTGTTGGGGTTTTTAGGAATCAATCTGTACTTCTCTTTGTACTCTATTGTGAAAGTTTTAAGTTTCATCAAACCGGGTAAACCTTTTTCAGAATCAGCTTCTTCAATGTTACCGAAATATACTGCTTCTCTTTTTGTCATCAAATCAAAATATTATTCCACGCCCCGAGTATTTTTGAATCATCATCTAGTCTCATTAAATATTGATATTCAAGAACTAATGGAATATCCAAAACAAGTTTGAACCAAAACCTGCACATGTGCTGATAATTCCATTTCCCTCTTTTCTTCCAGTTAGGTTCTTCTAGATAAGGATCAAATCCTTTTGGAAATGATGTGAAAGCGTCATCTACATTGTAAAAAATAACTTGGCGTTTGGTGACATTTGCTATAGCTTGCATATGTTGTGTAATAGGATAGTCTGTATGAAAAAAAATTATGTCTGCAGACATATTATCTGAAAAATGTCGATCTAGTGCTGATATTGTAGGAACCAGTTTCTGAACTTGATCGTTGTATAAGAAAGCCATTGCATTTTTTCTGATTTTTGCTGTTGGATTCCATGTGGACATATGTGGTTTTCTTGCAGATTTAGGTTCACATATACTGATATCATTCTGAATTGTCGAATTTTTTGGAATTTTGAACATAAAAACAATGATTACTATGAAGAAAATAATGAATACCCATATAGTACCGCGATTCGTGTATATTCGATCGTGTAGCATCTGAAATCTTTGAATCAATATATCATAAAGAATTACTGATTAAAAACATACTGATGAGTACTGATCACTTAACTGTATCAACTATTTGATAGAAAAGCTTACTAGCGGGTGTGAAGTGGGGGTGGGTGTGGGTGTGAAGTTTGTGTATTAATGCAGTGAACTCTCACATAACGACACCCACACCAACCATAGATGGAGCTGGTACCGGTCCGAACATTAGACCGGCCGGTATACTAAGTTGAAACCGGTCTGAAATCGACCTATTATTGGTTTGTTACCGGTCTATCGTCGATCTCACTTTTAAGTTTTCCTGCTTTTATCACAAAAACTAATGCAAAGTTATTATTGGCGGATCGATATAGTGCTTTTCAGGCAGTATTTTATTTTGACAACTGATCCATTATCGGTAGACTAGTCAAACAGGTAGACTGGTACCGGTACTGGTCGTCGAAAAACTAGCCCCGTTCCATCTTTGACACACACACCCTCATTTTTGACTGAGTTTCATGAATTTTTCAAGAACGTGAGAAACTATCCCCAAAAAGCGCGTTGCTTTTGTAACTTTGGAATAAAAAGCAACGCTTATTTTACTTGATAGGTTTTGTTGTGACAATGCTTGAACATACAAATAAGATAGAGTTTTTGAAGCTCTACGAATGGGATACTTTTATTGGTCCATTTAGCTCAACGTGAAAACACATTAAAATAATAAAAACTGAATTGCGTACTTGAAAATTGTTAATGTTGCATGCCCTCCGTATTGTTATAATAGTGTTTTTGCTTTTGGCTCCATGCCACTGCTTTATACATGCTTTTGTAGAGAATACAACGCTGAATCTTTTGATAAAAACGTCAGTCTGAAACTTTACAAGCTGGCAGAGACATCGAGAAAATACTGAGACCATCATTCTTTATAGCCCACCCGTTAGATGGCGATTCTGAAATTCGAATCTCTAGTATTAGATTTTCATCAGATGCTGCTGTTGAATTGTGGCGAACTTTACGTCTAGACTCTGACTATCCCTTCATATGATCTGAAGGTACTAATTAGTACTCACTAAATTAAATGTTTTTTTTCCTATTGGATCCGGTATCGCACTCGTTGGCCTGGGTAGCACGCTAAAACTAAGAATTTGAATCTTTTGTTTCCGGTAGATCTACTGATGGATATATTAGCATAAATCTCTTCTTTAAGTTTCCTCATACCTTTTGATTTCATATTTCCCGAAGAGTGATCAATATTATTGGAGATGAACATTTAATAGTATGGGGTAGCTGTGACTGTTGATACTCACATCTCTCTGCCCAAATCTTCACCCACGGATATCCACCCACACTCAGCATCTGGTGGCATCGATGCTTGGTGAACTGGTGAAAACTCAGCGATGTTGCATCCTTAACTGTTACGCCACATCCAAGTGTGATCAAATTCATATCTAGATAGTCATAGCACTCAAAATAACAACATCGCGCAGAAACGTTTTTAAATCTCACCTCTGAACAATTTATTTTCAAGCTCAAAATGGATTAAATTGGAACTTTGGAATTGCTGTGTAAAATTTTTCTTTTATAGAGGATGAAACGATAGTTGAGGGAAAGCGGCGTATAAATCATAAAAGGAGTCAAGCCGAATCTAGAGAAGTATTTCAACAAAGTAGTTTTGATAGCGACGCTGGCTCAATAGACTCCGCTTTAGTTTTATTGTTGTGCAAGCGAAACCTGTGTTACTATTACAAACAGATAACATATTCAGTTTCTGTCCCTGAAGTAAAGCTTGAAAATTTCACAGTGTCAGTTCATATCTCTCGGTATCCGTGATATTTTAATAGTGGGTGAAGTGACCGAAGTCAAAATTTCTCCATCTGTCATAAGTCGCAAATAAAGCCAAACCAGTGGCCTTCACTATATGGTCCCTTAGCTTGAATTGTTCAGCGGGCACATTAAATGTATCTTCGTAAAAGTCATGCTTCGCGGTATCTACCCATCGAAAGTATTGTTGATATTTATCGCTTCGGAAAAAATTTTAATTACCTATTTTAATCATAGAATTGCACACACAGAAACATTTTTTCTCTCCACACTGCCTCCACCATAATGACAGATTGAGAGTTGATATATCGACGTTGATCAACGGCAGATACTCTTTACATATTGATAGCCATAATCCATCAGAGTACCCAGGGCATCAAAGCCATCCATTGACGAGGTACAACACTGTAATTTTTTTAAAATTCTATTTTGTAAAAAATAGACTTTAAATAAGCTACCGCATTTTCAAACTTTTACGATTCATTCATCGAATTTCTATTATTTAGAATATGCTTGATTTTCCAAACAATAGAAATTCAATTTAATTTACTGCATAAAATCCAAACTTGAATATCAATATTTTACTTTCAAGAAAGTAGAAATTCATCAGTGAATTCATCTAGACATTCCTAGAATATCCTGTGCGAATTCATATAGACATTCTATTTTTTACAGTGAACCGTACAATAATTTCTATTCAGACATTGTTTTGAAATGATCCGAAATTATTTCATGAAAATTGATGTCGCTATCTATGCGCATGTAATAGTCAAAAGAGCTGAGTGTCGGATGTATTGCAAATAGACCCGCATAAAATCTCATAACAGAGCGATATGGAATCGAAGTATATCTGTGAAACGGTCGTGATACTTTCTGCTGGAAAGACGGTAAAGTCAAGTTAATATGAGCAAAGAGAGTTTTCACTTTTGCACCAAGAGCGACAATCAGTCGTTCCTTTTGAGGTGTGCCTATATCAGTTTCGTGAAAAAATAAGACAGAGTAATTCAAATTATAACGTAGAAATTAGTGACCAATGTTTTCTAAATTCTTCAAAGTCATACTCAGGCGATGCTTCTGTATCATCATAATTATTACTCCTTTCGGCATGAAGGTTGCATTCATTGGTTTATTGAAGTTTTACGTATGTATAAAGTTTGAAATGATATTTTTTGTAGCCTTCAATATATAAGGTCAATAAGCATGCAAAAAGCAGCATACCACAGAAAACAAAATATAATACAGCGTGATTCATCTAAACTACGAATGTTAATGAAAACTTTAATATTGACAGAAAGCTCATGTGTTAGAAGAAGTGCGTTAATGTGAATCCGTTCTGTTTCTAACGAACGCTCCATAACGAATGGTCAGCTAACTTTTTCTGCCTTTAAGGTACTTAATAATCGTCTTAAGATCTGATTCTGAGCTTGTTGAATCGAGATTTCATTTCTCTAAAACACTATCCACTGTGTTTTTCAAATAAGTTTTCCCTGTCAGTGTAAGATTTGAAAGACCAACACCTACTAAATCATTCATATGCTTGGTGAAATTTTCTACAGTTATTATACGGTTTGTGTAAGTATTTATTCATCCAAACCGATGTTAAAAGTAAAGTATCTTACATCAAAAGATAGTGTATTTTATGTTCTATGCTTCCGCGATCTTTCCAAGATTCTTGATGCTGCTGTTCAGTAGACAAGGGTTTTGAACTAACGTCTGGCAGTAATTATGGATGTGCTCTGGAAAATAATATTTTCAAAAGCTCCGCTAGCCCTGTGGATTGTTGACTCTCATGTCGTTAACTGTAGAATTTAATCCTGTACGAAACAGGGCTAATGATAATTTGAACAGTTGAAACATTCAGACTACTGCGAATTAAAAGAGAACAATTCTATAAGTCTATCAGAAAAAGACTTTTTCCCGCGTTTTCTCATTTTCTATTTCAAAACTGGTTCATTCAAATATTTATTTTGAAATCCTGAGCAAGATGTCAAAAGATGCAAAATTTTATGCGGAATATTGTAGAATATTTGATATTTCAGGAGAACCGCTAGTAAAAAGATTACATCGTTCTTTTCGCTTCTCTGACTACGCAGAAGGATGATGTTTATATCCATACTCAAACCCTGTGAGGTGCCTGTTTGGGAATGTGTAAAAAGACTTCAACCTCCGTGATGTGCTTAGAATAAATTGACGTTGACGTTTAAGGGGATATTAGTCTATTCACTATAGAGAAACTCACAAGAAATTGTATACCGTGACCAGTGTATGATGATGAAATATACATCATGGTGATTAATAATAATCAATAGCAAATATAATCTGTTGGTAAGTTGTAATGAACAGTAGGGGCGCAACCAGAAAAAAATTGTAGGGGCGGATAAGTCGTTGGCCAAAGCCATGGTAGGGGGGGGGCTAACCTTATTTTTTCACAGGGTTTTATTTTTTCTAGGGGGGCTAAGACCTCTGTAGGGGGCTGGGCCCCCCCTGGCCCCCCGCTGGTTACGCCCCAAAAGAACACAGGAAGGAAAAAAAAGTATAAAAAGAAGAAAAAGAGAAA